AATCTCACTGTATCAAAATGACCATTCTTGTTACTCAAACCATCTTCACTTTTCTCTTTGTGAGGCACTCGCTAATGTCGTGGCACAATTAATATTTTATAAGAAGTGTTCACAGGTGCTTAACGTAATTGCTGAGTTACGAGTAAGCTTTCCTCATGCCTGAGGGGTAGTTTTTTGGGAAAAGATTCATTTCCACGGTTAACATCCAGGGAACAAAATCAAGTTGCTTCCAAGGCTTTAATTTTTAGGAAATGTGTTCCAAAACCATCTCTCCCAGAAAAACATGTGTTTTTCTCTGTAGTTACAGCTCCTGCCCTTTCAGTGTGGTAGCTGTTTGTCTTTTTTTGTTGTTGCGTGTTTCAACCACTAAATTGCTTCTTGTTTTCTGGTAGAGGGAGTAGTGGATACCCGAGTGTGTGTGGAAAAGGAAGCAAAAAAGAAAAAACTCTGTAGGGTTCTACGGAATAGGACTTTGGATGATAACCAGGCAGAAAGAGCCTACTTCTCACTCTGGGAAGCAGACGCCGATATTCAAGCCCTGGTGTCTGTTGGGACTCAACATGTCACCCCTTTGTCTCCTCAGGGAAGTGGCACCTTGGGGTCCACTGCCACAACAAAACCGACTTTTGTCACCACCCTTTAAATCACGGCTTCGATTATTTCCACGGGGTGCCTGTGACCAACTTGAGAGACTGCAAGCCCGGGCAAGGCAGCGTCTTCACCAGCGCCATCAGGCTGCTGGTGTTCATCCCTCTCCAAGTCATCGCGATCGCCCTCCTGACCTTGGCGGCGCTCAAGTGGCTGAAGCTGGCCCACGTGCCCCGCGCCGTCTTCATCTGCCTCCTCCTCCTGGCTGCCGTGATCCTTGGCGCCTTGGTGTGCTTCCTCCATTACTTCCGACCCCTGAACTGCTTCCTCTTCCAGAACTATGACATCACCCAGCAGCCCCTGTCTTACGACAACCTCACGCAGAGGCTGACGGCGGATGCCACCCAGTTCATACGACGGTGGGTATCGCCCCTCACCCGGACGCCGCTGGTGCAACACGGTGCTCGGTGGTTCCCACGCCGGTGGGACAACCAGGCTGGTCCTTATGGCCACACTCCCCCTGCCACGCTGGGTAGAGTCCTCCAGACCGGCTCTCGGGAGCAGGGACGTGAAGCATGAGGTGGCACATGTTGGGTGGCCTCAGAAAGACATTGCGATGCGGTGGGCTGTCCCCAGAGTGGCTTTGTCAGATGACTCATGTCCTGTGTGTGTTAGGCCATGCCAGAAAAAAAAAAAAACGTCTGCTGGATGACAAACGGGGCTTCGGAGATCACCGTGGTGTTTAACCGTCACGTGTGAGATTAGGAGAGAAAAGGTGCCTGAATGGTTTGAGTGTATAGATTGTCCTCGTCATGCAAATAATGTGGGGAGATCCAGAATGCTCGAGGCAAATTTCTGAGAGAAACCGACCTCCATGAGTAAGCTGGGTCAGCTCAGTGATCTCTTTGGGTTCGGTTAGGTGTCCTTTGGCACATGGTTCTGGGGGTTGCAACCAGCAATGGACACCGATGCCAAGGAGACGTTCTAGCAGGGACACGTGCTCTTAAAAACAAACAAGACCGTTTTGTTCCTTTTGTCACTGTAGAGGATGGAGAAAAATGGAAGTTTCATCTAAAAACCAGACGTGAGGCCTTTGTGGTTACCTGCCACGTCCATGGAGAGTCTCGGTCTTATCCAGGCAGCAAACCCTGGAGAAACTGGGTGCTCCCAGCCAGGTAGCCTGGTGAGAGACGTAACGTGATTCTAAGGGAAGGAGGGAGATAGGAAGCTGGCAGCCGTGCCCCTGTGCACCTGTTTCAGTTGTCGCTTGCACATGGAGGTACTGTGGAGTTGTCAGCACGTACAGGAAGCCTAACCATCGGCCCGGGAGCCAGGGACACACATACCTGGGGTGGCCACTCAACATCCTGGGCGCCCACAGTGCTTGGTTCGGAAACCTCCATTGTGCAGTAGCTTAGTACACGGTGTCAAATAAGCGAGGCTCATTCTAAGAGCCACACGTAGACAAAAAACAGAAGAGGGGAACATCCCTAGAGTATCGTTATCAGGCACATTCCCACAGACTGTGTAAGGAGAACCTGGGGTGCTTGCTAGAACTGGATATTACCAGTCTTATCTGCTTACCTGTAGATTCCTACTGAGCCTATCTGCAGTGAGGCCATATGTCTTCATTTCCACAAGCTCTCCAAGACATTCTAGCACGGGCGTCCCGTAGGACGCTCTGACAAATGCTGGTGCGTCCACGGAGTACAGTTTTGCTGTTAGGGACAAATGCTGCAATTGTCATAATGCTCTTAGGTTTTTTCTAGAAGGTGAAGTTGACACATGATTGAATGCAAACGCCTTAGAACGTTTTGAGATGGACATTTGACATCATCCTCCAGTTAGATGTACACAGATATTTAACGGAAACAGGTTCCCTCAAATGATCTTTTTCTTGCACGAGTGATCGCTTCTAATACTTCCGTCCTATTGTCTTCTGTTTTATTTTGATATTTTCGAGTTATCTGGTTGGGACTCTAAATTAATGTCATAACTCAACGGTGGGCCACGGTCTGCATGGTTGACAGTGTTCTTACCTCATGGGTTTACTGTATAGTGTGTTTTATAAGTAAGAGAGCGGCCATTGCAAGATAGAATGGGGCACGAAGGATTGCAGACCTATCTGTTTAAGCCAACACACAGCAGTGTGCTGCTTGGTAAATTTGCTGCAAAAGCCAGACATGCTCACATCACTTTCTATCTTCCAGCAATCTCTCAGAAGCAGAGAGGAGATTAATAACACAGCCTGTTAGAGAATGACCGGGTTCAGAAACGATACGCCGTTTCCAGGGTGAATCGATGTTTTACAGCATGTGGTATTTTCACAGAAATGAATCTATACAGAGGTTATGAGTATTCATAGGATTGCAAGGCATTGTAATGGGTTCCTCAGCATATGACTTTGGGAAGGGAGCAAAACAAACCTGATCATCATACGGGGATTGAAGCTCAACTATTTTATCTCGATTATATTGAGCTTTCTGAGACTTTTTCAGAGCTGGACCCTTCAGATGTTTTAGGAACACCATAGTTGCAGGTTATCGAGTTACTACGAAAGGGTTTAGTCTTCAACATAGATGTCTCCAGTGAAGATGTCTGCTGCCCACATTTGAGCAATGCAGACATGGTCAATGCAAGTGAAAATACTACAATTTGTATACCACAGAAGCTATTCATAAAAAGCCCTTTTACATACGTTATCTGAAGACACAAAGACTTAAAGTGCTTCTGGAAAATTATCTTTGGGTAAAATTGTCGTCCTGTGTTATCTTAGGCATCGGACTCACTGAACGTGAGATCCAAGATCTTAAGAGAATTGCCTCGATATGTCACCAAAGAATCCTAACAATGGTGACACCACCACATTTACAAAAATGGTTTTCAAGGGCCAGAAGACACATGTCTGCGTGTCCTCTCATTGGCCAGAATATCCTGAATCATTTAGGCAGGTCTTTACCTTGTTTGTGAGAAATGAATGTAGAAATTAGTCAGAAGCAGAAGAAGGAAAAGTGATCAAAGTATTGACAGTGTTTATGAGGTTTATTCAAATGCTTTTGGACTTCAACTTTTCCCGCATTGAAACCGGTGCCTTATTTTGATGTATTAACGTAAAAAGCCATCTGGAGTACCGAACTCCTGCTTAGCTCATATGTCAAAGGCCATGAGGGGAATGATTTGATCCTTTATATTCTTTCTCTAAACCTTGTTGCTGAAGGGTGTGTTCTTGAGATGCTAGCTTGGGATGGGAAGATATGAGTGATGCGAGCAGAAGACAAAGACGTTTCATTGGTTTGTGAGGCTCTCAGTGGAGGTTTGCTTCTGCAAACGTGGCATGTGCCCTGGGATTCCAAGAGCACACTCCCAAGTTGAGTAGGGTGACAGTTTGGAATATAGAACCGTGTACTCCACGATCCTTCAACCTCGTTTACTCTTTGGGGGCTACAATTTATCTTGGGGGGAGATGCTTGTACCCTTGGAGAGCTAGATAATTAGCTCACCATATGTTATAAGCTGTATAGCAATTCAGGAGACAGGTTGTCCTTAATACACTTTAGCAAGAAATCTTTGCAGCTCTCACAGGTGGGGATGACCTGTGGATTGCGTCGAGATGCCCATGTTCCCTTATGTGCCCTGAATGAAGGATGCACCAGCCGTGTGGCTGTCTCCACTGGCACTGAGGCATGTTCAAGTGTAACCGTGCTTGCCACATGTACACCAGACACTGTGGGTACACACACCGTCTAGGGCACGTGTCACACACATCACCTCTTTCGTGCTAGAAAATGACCTTGCGAGATGCGTAAAGAGATGTCTTTCTGTGGAGGAATTCTAGGCTCAAACCTTTTGAGTCAATAGACAAAACCCCATGGGTAATGGAGACTGGACTCAAAACCGTAGCTAACTCTTCATGACACCTCTCCTGAGCAGTGGAGTGGGCCATAAAGAGACCGGTCCCTTCTTTGCTCTGCCGTCTACATGGCTGACTTACGGACAAGGTCCAAGTATGGGTTTGTTGGAAGAAGAGTAGGGGATGGAATAAGGATCTCAACACCCCTTCTCCAAATGCCCCCAAAGTTGGTACAGTCAAAAATCTGAAATGCGTTTACAGGGTCCCTCCAACCTAGCCTTGCATATTTCCAGCTGGGCTGTGGACACCATGATGGCTACGTGTGACTTGGCTGAAAGCATCTTCGATATAAAGGAATCATGGGATGATCTTATTAGGTCAACTGAGAGTTTCAGCCAGAAAGGAATAGGGGTGATCCTAATTTTAATTTGTGACAAGGCAAGTAAATCTCATTAAAGGTTAAGGGAAACACACAGGGACGCGCGCGCACACACACGTTCAGAGGTGGAAAGGGTAAATAATTAGAGAACGGTCTTGTTCAATGAGGTAGGCACCACTTGATGGTTTGGTAACGTTCATGGGGTAATAGGATGTGAGTTTAGGAATGGAGGGGTTCTTCAGAGGAGCCCCAAGCTGAGTCCAGTGATGGACGCGTGCCTGTCTGACACCATATGGGGTCCAGGTCCATCCACTCCTCCCCGATCGCATGGGGACAAAGGACTGTCATCAACCCCACACAACTCTTTCACATCCTAGGATTATGATCTACACTGGAATCAGGAAGCGTGAGTTTCGGTGTGTCTGAGGTGGAAGCGCAAACAGATGGTGGTGCAGGCTGGTGAGGAAATGAGTGATGGGGGCGGGGGCGGGGAGTCTGAGTCTTGGGACCCAGTGGAGCTAGAATTGGTCCAGGTCACTTGAGGATGGTGACTCCAGCGAAGTGCTGTCCTGTGGGACCACAGCTTGGTGCTGCCGACTTTGTAACCTTCAGGAGAAGTCAGAAATACCTGCTGTTGGTTTTTGTTTTTTTCAGGGAGCTCTTTAGGGGGGATTTTTTTTTAACAGGAAACTTCTCAGTGTTTTAAACATTTGCTCATTTGTTAAGCACGCAACGGTTCCGGTATTGAATGAATCGCTCCCCTCTCCCTGACTTGGAACGGACCCCAGCTGAGCTCACTACCTGGGTTCCCTCTGGCGGTGCACGGGGGTTCCTATGCTCGTATCCATCACAGGCTTGTCTCCCCATGTCCAGGCTGGGAGGGAGCCTGTAGAATCGACAACCTATTCTTATGTTGGGCATCAGAAAAATAACGGAGATCCTGTTAACCGGGCAAATGCACTTCGATGGGGTTTATATAGGCTATCTTGTTTGTGTTTCTTGGAGGGTCCATCCAAGGGGGTTCTTCCCCCACTGTTGCACACGAGGTCAGATAATTAAGTTTGCTAACTTGCTGCAATAATGTTGCTGACCTTTCTTGATATCAGACGGATTATTCATTATGAATTTGTACCGACTGGACAGTTAACCCAAGTTTACTATTCGGAAGTGCTGAAAAGGCTGCGTGAAAA